TGTTGTCTCCATGATGATGATTTCCCATAAGTGTAGTCTCTGCTGCATTCGTGCCGTTGATTCCGCACCGATCCGACGATCCACGTTCTCCTGTCAGTTTTCTGCTTGCAGCTATTACCAAGTAGGTAATTCTTCGGCAGATTTCTGACTCTGCAGATGATTTACGCGCCATATTCGTCACCAAATGAAGGATTTCGAATTTGGTTGTCCAAATGTTGTCAACGCTGTTGAAGGCGGCCAATTTCTGGTTTTGCGCGTTATTCTCCCTTTGTGCAGAAGTCGCGCTCCATCTCGTCCGTTGAAGTAGAAGTCGATCCGACGGTCCAAACTCCAAGCGATCTGAGGATACTCCTGAGTCGCGTTCAGCAGCTTTCAGTGTCCGGGTAAACTCGTTTCATGCAGCAATTCTCGGTCGTCGATGTCAGCTGTCGAACGATCGGACGCTCTGAAAAACTTCGCGGCTTGCGAGGTCCCGTTCCCATTCGCGCTGAAACCCGAACTCTCTCAGCAGGATTTCGTTTTCGCCTCGGTCGATCTGAAGCGTCGAATCCCCATCGGACGGATGTCGTCGGTCGAACCTCCGCAGAGTTCCGCTCAACTCCAAGTGTTGTCGCGAACTGCGAACATCTCCGAATGTCGCAGGGAGTGTTCCGCCGGAATTGACGCGCTCCCCAGGTCGAGGCCGTTTGCCCCCGCGAAAAATCGGCTCCGTCGATGCAGTCCATCGAACGGTCGGCGAGGCATCTCGCCTTCGAAGGGGACCCCAGGTGCAACTGCGAGAGGATTGTCGAAACTTAAATGAAAGTGCATTGTACTTACAGGAATTGAAGTTTCGACTCCATCCTCCGCGTGCTCCTGGGGGCCCAGCGGTTAAGCGTTGAGCTGAAACCTTGGCTCTGATAACCAAGTGTCACAGGATCGAATGTCCCGAGGAAAGGTTTGCTCAATGTGGCACTATCAATCAGTACAAGGTGCTTTTATACTTCCAGATTACATCAGGTAACCAGGTTTATCCTATCCAAAGGGAATAGACCCTTCTAGAAATAGAATCACCATGCGTATAGCCACGCGAGGCTATTGGCTTTAAGGGATTACGGCAGGATTACGCTAGATAGAGCGCGCCAGTACATCCCGAGCCTGGTCGGTGATATAATCATAATAATAGGATAAACCCAAGGATAATGGAAATTGAGGAATAGGAAACCAAATGAGATGAGATAAAGACCAAATGAATCAGGAGTGAAAGAGGAATGAAATAGAAATGAAATATGGAAAGGGGAAATTGGTGTAACGGTATCGTACTCTCACACTTGCCCTTCTTCCGAGACGCCATCTTTCGGGGTGGCTTCTTGTGTCGTGCCCACCACACCTGGGCATCATGCTTCATGCCGCGTGGCCAATCTTCCTTGGTATGACATTTGAGTCATCTCAAAAGTTACAACTGCGCATCGCGCTTCACGCTCGCCAACTTCCTTGTGATGTTCACGCAGTGCAGCACCTTAAAGCCGAACGATAACCCGCCAATCGATACCTCCGTGCCGAGTCGCTCACACAGAGCGCTCGGCACTGACTCCCTCGCTGCCACACCACCCGGCTTCTGCGTCGCGCCACACGGCTTCTACTTCGCGCTTGACTCGGAGTTCCTTGCTGCATCAGCGCCACCAGAGGCCATGGCGAGCATGACAAAGAGAGTCACGATGCTCGTTGGAGTTGCCATGATCTGTGAAGTGCCGCACTCGCGAAAGACCCGCAGAGATGAGCTACTACCAGTAGTAGCAACTAGTACCCAACCAGTGTGTGCAGTTGCAATAGTCCTACACGTTTTCCCGCTTCGTACTACATGCATCGATTAGAGGATCTACGTGGCACTCAAAGGAGAGATGCGTCAGGGACTGATAAGGGTGAGATCGTAAGAACACCCAGTACTCCTACCAAAAAAATAAAATAAAAAAATAAAAAAAAAAATAATCCACCGCTATTACGACAACCCCTCTGGCAGAGGACGTTGCTACCGAGAACTGAGAATTTCCATCCGATGTTCCCCGAGTCAGAGTTGCTCGCTCTCCAAATCATCAGTTCGGGGTAGTACCTTCCAACATTGTCTCGCCCGAGTCGGGCTTCCGACGTCGGTGCACGCTCCTATAGTTGCGGCACCCATTTTAAAAAAGTGATTGAGGCGCTATGGCAGTGAAGTTGCGACTTGTTTGTCTTTTTGTGGAAATGATTATGAGGGTGGATTACTACAAAGTTATATCTAACCATAGTTAGATTTAGACCAACCAAAGTTGGATCAGTGTAATGCTACAACACGGATCTACCATCATGGGTAATGAGCTGGCATCGTGTGAAATAGTTGATTGGGTGAGCGACGCAAGCAGAACGAGCGTGCGCCAGCGGCGTGCGAGTGTAACAGGTGGCTAGGTGTGTAAGGAATGCGCAATTCCTTACTGAGGCTTGCTACAGGGCGTACGACTCGAACAATCCCGAACCATCGCCAGGGTTCCAGACCTTTCAGTTCGAGCCTCCTGGGCCTTTCCGGACCTCGCTACGACACATCGAGGCCCTTCGACACTTTTCCCGAACCTTCCGATCCTACGTCCAGGATCACCCTAGGTTTTCTATATATTGTGTGTTCTTTCATTTTATTGTCATTCACTCGTTCACAGTTTCGCCATTGCCCTCCGCGCTACTCAGCAGTCCCATTCATAACAATTGGTATTCAGAGCCACTTTCCTCACCCACTGGGCTTCCGAGGGCATAACGCTTTTTTTTGGGGGGGGAGAGCCATCCCCTCGAGGGCGGTTGTGTCCGTCCTGACAAGGCGAATATTTTGAAGAGTGTTTCCGGTATGTTGATTATTTCGCATACCGTTAAAAGAGTTTCGGTTGCGGTTTCGGCAATTACGGCAAGCAGCAATGACAATTCAGATTGGTGTTCGAATGGAGCGAGGAGCTCGTCACGAGACGACAAGCTCGCGGATATCCCAAGGCGAAATGGATTTCGTCAGGAGTGCATGTAGCAGACGTGGCTGTATGGTGAAGTGTAGCTGATGTCAAGGGCTCGGCGTTCAGGCAGGCGACACGCAGGTGAAGACGGGACTTCGGATACTGTTCAGCAAACGCGGCGTTGGAATTTTCGGCACGACCAAGGATCGCACGGCAGCACACGTGGGGCTCAGGCACGGAAAAGTTTCGGGGAGTACTGACCTCGAAATTTATTCGCGTGACCTACCCGCCTGGAGGTGTAATTCGTCTGCCCTGGAGTTTCGAGCTCGGCGAGTCTGGAATCCTGCAGAGGAAGCCATTTTTGTGGTCAGAAATTATACCCCACGATCTACGGAGGACGACCAGCAACTACCCTCGGGTCGAGTTTAAGTGTCATCGCCGGGTCACCGCTAAAGGTCAACGTCGAAGTGCTGTAGCAGAGAAGGAGAACGACTGGGTAACAACCGGGAAAAACTTAAGAGTCAGCGGCAGACGGATCCTCCGACTGACTTGGCTGGGTCGCCCGATCTTCAACATCTCCACCAGGTGGTAGTACGATACATGTTATCGACCGCTCCTGGACGAATAAGGGAGGTGAGCCAGCGGATCACCCTGTGCTGGTGGATCAAGGAAGAAATGTTTTCGGCGCTACACGATAGGCAAACGATTGGTGAAAATCGGACGCTCTACAGTGGGAGGCGCGTGAAGCAGGTTAACGAAAATAACGAAGGATTTTTGCGACAACGATCGGACGGTATGCGGAGCTCGAGTCCAATACGAGCGGCGAGGATTTGTCGCCGAGATCGACGGAGCGCGAGTTTTTCGAAAGAACGTGCGCGGAACTGTTTGGAGAACGACGAACTTGGGCGCTGGGTGAACAACGGCCTGTGGGGGTTTTTACTCTAGAAGCAACAGTTGAAGAAATTTGCAGCAGCTGAAGCAGATTTTTGCAGAGACGGAAATTTTCAGGGAGGGGAAGGAGAATCCCTTACGTAAGGTGCAAAGCGGTTGCCCGCGAATTAGACTGGTTAATTCGCCCAACTACGATAGCGTTTGCGCTTACCTGAGTAATGGCACACGGCGGATTCCCCCCTGCTCTGGAGTGTATTCATCAAATGGAGCTTCAGGACGACAAGGGTTACTGTTGCAGTGGGAAAATCGTGTTGCCGTCACGGAAAATTTGGAGTCACGCCGGAGTCTTCAAGTATTAATCCTGAGTTGTAGGACTATAATCAAAGACTTGGCTGCGAGGACTCGTTCAGGGATTTCCCTGGACGGGCGCAATGATGGGTGAACGTCGGCGCGTCGCTAAACGTCGGGTATTTTTCGGGTGGGAATTCTTCAGGTTTTCGGCTGGAGCGGTAGCTGGGGTCACGGATTCCTACCGAGCTGTGCGATGGTTTAAATACCAGCATGGTTAGCCGGTGAAACTGCAGAAAATTCGTTTTTCGGAGCTGAGAACTATACCCAAGTTTTTCTGGGGTACCTGCCGTAGCCGCGCGATGGGTGAACGTCTGCACGGTGAACCGGTCAGGTGGGGTTGCGAAAATTTCTACTGAGGGTAACAACACGAAGCAGATCGACGGCGGAGCAGAATCATTATCTACGGCGTTGGATGGAGCTAGAGTCTATGTGGTGCAGCTGCCCTGCGTTATAGGGTCGCGCTGAGACTGGCCACGGCGAACAGAGTTTGAAGATACTTCAAGTTTTCAGGTCTGAAGTAACTTGAAGCATGATGTTTTCGGCATCGACGACAGAAGATTTTCTTTTGATGGAGGGGGGAGAGAGCAGCTGCGCAGCAGTTGTTTTTTGGGTTGCGTAGCAACCCTTTATAATCGGTCGGTGGACCGATTGTGGTGGACAGATATTGCATTACATATTATTCTATTCTTTCTAAATCTTATCGAGATAATAACCCATATCATTTTTTTGTTTCTAAATCTTATCGAGATAATAACCCATATTTTTTTTATTATTATTTTAGGGTCTTTTAGGGTCTAATGCATCCTTTACTCTAAAGATTTATATTATTTATTATTAGTACTATTTATTCCCACATACGTATTCCTGTTGTTGTTGTTGTTGTTTGTAGTTTCTAGTGTATGTATTTGTTATGTTTTCTCTCTTTGGTTGTTGTTATTATTATTATTGTTATTATTATTATTATTATTGTTATTATAATTATTATTATTTATAATAATAACAAAAAATATTTATTTATTATTATTTTTATTATTATTTTTATTATTATATCTACTAATATTATTGTTATTATTATAACTACTAATATTATTGTTACAACTACTAATATTACTATTACGACTACTATTTTTTTCTTAATATTATTATTATTACCACTACTATTGCTATTACTATTGTCATATTTTTCTTTTATTCTTCTACTTTTCTATCCATTATTACTATACTACTATTGTTAGACTTAGCTAACCATTTTATCGTGCAAGACAAAAATCCATGCTAATCTATTTGATATGTCGACAGCATATACTATTTGCTAATCTGCGATACTCATACCGACATAAAAATAGAAGAGTAACATAGAGATTTGGGCCAACTATCTAGGCTACCTATGAATGATGAGAGTCTCAAATCATTCGCCGTCGATAATTACGGCGGAGAATGATAGAGATACTACATTACAACAGCACACAATACATTATGGCAAACAAATATTACGAAACAGTAGCGAATGCAACGAAGCAGACACATGAATGCTTTCGTGCTATGATGGCGGTCTCAAACCTACAACGACAATCGCTAATTGTATACCGTACTAGACATAGTTAGCATCGTTCTTGGCAATGCATGCCATCGAGCACATTACATAGTAAAATATTACGGGTAGGAAAACGAACGCGTCAATGCTTTCGTGCTACAATAGAGACTGACATGCACGTTATGGGAAGCGAGTCCCCAGACCGGCAACGACAATCGCAAATTGTATACCGCACTAGGCATAGTCAGCATCATTTCCACGGGGACAATACAATAGAACTAGGTTTGTGCATGACGTAACAATATAATACATATAAAACATATGCAAAAGACACGGTAAACACCATTGACAAAAAAAAAAAGAGGACACAGTAAACACCATTGACAAAAAAAAAAAAAAAAAAGGAACAGTAGTTAATGCAACATAGCAAACGCATCAATGCTTTTGTGTTGACATGCGCGTTATGGGAAGAATATGCCAAACTGGCAACGACAATCGCAATTTGTACTGTGCACTAGGCATACGCTGCGTCGTCTCACTGCACCCACAACAAAATGCATTCTCTTAATAACGCATGCCATCGAGCACATTATATAGTACAATATTACGGGTAGGAAAACGAACGCGTCAATGCTTTCGTGCTACAATAGAGACTGGCATGCACGTTATGGGAAGCGAGTTCCCAGACCGGCAACGACAATCGCAAATTGTATACCGCACTAGGCATAGTCAGCATTGTTTCCACGGGGACAATACAATACAACCAGGTATGTGTATGACGTAACAATACAATATATATAGAACATATGTACAAGACACGGTAAACACCATTGACAACAAATAATACGAAACAGTAGTGAATGCAACGAAGCAAACGCATCAATGCTTTTGTGTTGACATGTGTGTCATGGGAAGAATGTCCCAAACTGGCAATGACAATAGCAATTTGTACAGTGCACTAGGCATACGCTGCTTCGTCTCACTGCACCCACAACAAGATGCACTCTCTTAATAACGCTTGCCATCGAGCACATTACATAGTACAATATTACAGGTAGGAAAACGAACGCGTCAATGCTTTCGTGCTACAATAGAGACTGACATGCACGTTATGGGAAGCGAGTTCCCAGACCGGCAACGACAATCGCAGATTGTATATTGCACTAGGCATAGTCAGCATCGTTTCCACGGGGACAATACAATACAACCAGGTATGTGCATGACGTAACAATACAATACACCGTAGAACATATGCACAAGACACGGTAAACTGTTAACGTAGAAACGAATGATTTACTAGAGGTGGAAACCTAGAACAAATACTAGTTGGTTGTACTCACTAGAAGCATACCTCAGTCTAGCCTATAACTTCTACATAGATAATATGTATAAGTTGACACACCCCTAGGCTAGACAAGGGGTGAAACTAAACAAGAAGCAAACAGCTCAGGGCGGCACTACTAGTCCAACCACTGAGGCAGGGGTCTGGAGACCAGTCAGCAAGAATACAACCAAAACTGAAGCAAGCCAGGGTGGCACTACTAGTCCAGCCACTGGAGGTAAGGCCACAAGGCCAGTCTGACAAGCATATATAATAGAGAGTACACAATCAGGATCCTAACAGGGGAGCAGCTATAGGAACAAGACCAAGCTGTACACAGTGCCGCTGATGATCTTTAGGCGCAAGCGCCTTAGTAAAGATATCAGCTGTGTTGGCACCTGAGGCCAAGTGAACTACGCGGGCCTGGCGGCGCTGCTGTAGCTCGCGCAGGAGGAAGTACCGCAGCTGGATATGCTTCGCTCTGCCCTCAAGCCGAGGCTCCTGACACAGGAGTATCATGGCCCTGTTGTCAGCGTACAGGACCGGGGCAGAGCTAGGCCGCTCACCTAAGTCTGTGAGCAAGAAGGTCAGCCAGCGGAGCTCCTGTGCCGCCATGGCACCAGCGTAGATCTCAGCCTCACAGCTAGACTGAGCCACAGACGACGAGCGAGTGGATCTCCAAGAGATAGCACCCGAACCAAGGCTGAAACAGTAGCCCTGCGACGACCTGAGCCTCTCAGCGTCGTCTGCCCAAGAAGCGTCTGTGTGCCCAGTAAGGACCACTGGCCTGCGTCCTCCTAGCACTAACCCCATGCCTGATGTACTAGCAAGATAACGCAAAACCCTCTTAGCGGCAGACCAGTGCTGAGGTCGGTGTCTGCCTGTAGCCACAAAGCGAGCCAGGATGCTGAGAGGGTATGCGAGATCTGGGCGAGTGCAAGTCATCAGGTACATGAGGCAACCCACCAGCTCTGCGTAGGGGCCACTGGGCTCTACTGGCTCCTCAGGAACGGGAGCAGAGAGCCCATGGTCTACGGGTAGAGGTGTGGGCTGTGCGGAGGAGAACTGAAGACCGAACCTCTGAAGGACCTGACGCACCAAGTGTGACTGGGTCAGAGTGATGGTGCGTGCTGCTCTGTCCCTAGAGATCTGCAGGCCAAGATAGCGACGCAGCTCTCCAAGGTCAGTGCAGGTGTGTCTCTTCAGCAGCTCAGCCTTCACAGAGGCCAGTGCGTCCCTGTCAGGAGTAGCGAAGACCAGGTCGTCTACGTAGACAAGGATGTAGAACGGAGTCTGGCCGGAACGCAAAAACAGTGAAGGGTCAGCAGAGGACGGAAAGAACTGCAGGTCTGCTAACGTGGCACGTAGCGTGTCGTGCCACTCGCGGGGAGCCTGACGCAGGCCGTAGACCGGGCGCCTGAGAAGCCACTGGGTCCCAGGAGGGAAGGTACCAGTGAAGCCCTGTGGTCGGCGCAGGTAGACCTGCTCGTGTAGGCTGCCCTGAAGAAAGGCAGTAGAGAAGTCGAGAGAGTGAAGCTCGTAGTCACGCTGTGCTGCTACGTGTAGCAGCGCCCGAAGAGTGGTCATCTTCGGGGTCGGGGCGAAGGTCTGGAAGAAGTCAACCCCCTCGCGCTGACTGAAACCTCTGGCCACGTAGCGCGCCTTGAAGACAGGCGGCTCTCCAGGGGGGCGCTTCACCTTGAAGAGCCACCGACCATCGACTACGTTCACCCCAGGCGGGGGAACTGCGTCGACGTAAGTGCCGGTGGATCTCCAAGATGCCATCTCCTGCTCCATGGCAGCTATCCACTGAGAGGCCCAAGGTCCCGAGGTGGCCTCAGCGTAGGTGCGAGGGGTCGGGATGTCGAAGGCGTCTGGGTCACCCTCAGGGACTAACAGCATGGAGCAGAGATGGGGAGCAGCCTCGGAAAGGAAAGCCAGCTCGTACTGCCTGTCCTCTAGGACGTCACTGCCAAGGGCAGGAGCACCCCCGACGGACAGAGGACGGGCAGGGTCAGAGACCAGAGCGGTAGCGTAGTCAAGGCGGCGGGTAGAAGCGAAGTCAGCGACAGCAGCGACAAGCGCGTCAAGGCGCGAGACAGGAACAGCAGGGTCGGTAACAAGAGAGGCAAGGACCCGAGGGACAAGGGGACGAGCAGCACGGAGGTAGTCAGAGAACGGAGGAGGTGCAACAGCAAGGGACGAGGGAGGAGGGGACGGGAGGAGGGGAGGACGAGACGAGTGGGAACGGAGCAACATAGGGTGGGTGGGCAGGACAGGAGAGACGGGACGAGCACGGGAGGGACGCCGAGCCCAAACGTGAGACGGAGGGGTAGGGTCAGGGGACAGCGGAGGAGACACAGGAGGGGAACGAGGAGGAAGACGGGCCGGAGACGAGTCTGGCGGCGGGAACACAGGACCGTAGACAGGGAGGTCAGGAGGCGGTGGGGGAGACACCGGCGCGCGGTCCGGGGAGGGAAGGCCGAGCAGGCGGAGAGCGGAAACCGGCGGCGACGGCTGCTGTGGCGGCGACGACGGCTGGGCCGGAACTCTCGGACCAGCAGAGGCAGAACGACCGTCGGCAGAACACTCAACAGCAGCACCCCCAGAACCAACACCCCAAGAGCGAGAACCCCCTCCAACACCAGCGGCACCCCCAGAAGCCGCAGGACGAACACCCTCCTCCACACCAGCACCCCCAGGGGCCGAGAGCAGCGGCGGCAGTGGCGGCGACAGCGGCGACGGCTGCGGCGGCGACGGCGACGGCGGCGGCAGCGGGTCGGCGACTGCGACAGTGGGGGCGGAGGCACTGGGGAAGGGGGACGCGGCAAGGACGGACCGGGGGTACCACCAGAGTCAGCAGACTCCTCAACGGGGACAACCGACGGGAGGGGAGTGACGTGGGAGACACCAGACGGGGCAGGACGAGGCGGGAGAGGGGCAGGGGCTACCGGGGGAGAGGGAGCAAGGAAAAGGGGGGGGGCAACTGGGAGACCTCGGTGAGGGAAGCGGCGGTAGAAGGAGACGGACTCGTCAAAGGTGACGTCACGAGAGTGGAGGAAGCGGTGAGACGGCGGGTGGTAGAAAAGCCAGTCAGACGAGTCCAGGGGGAAACCGAGGAAGACAAAGGGGACAGTGCGGGCAGTGAGCTTGTCCGTGCCAGAGGCACGAACGTGAGCAAGGCAGCCCCAGACGTGGAACGCAGACGCGTCACCGGGGGACCCGGTCCAAAGGAGGGTCGGCGAAACCTGCGGCCGCTGGGAGCGTGGCCACAGGTTAAGCTGGTGAGCCGCGTAGCGAACAGCGAACGGCCACAGAAAATGGGGGGCATCGGCATGGATCATGGAGGTACGGGCGACCTCCATGACCAAGCCGATGCGGCGCTCAGCAACCCCATTCTGCTGTGGCGAGTCCGGCAAGGTGTACGACTGGGTGATGCCCTCCGCACGACAGAACTGTCCAAGCCGACCAGAGGCGAACTCGCCGCCACGGTCGGAGTGGAGACACAACACGGGGAGACCGCGGTGGAGACGCGCAGCTACAACCCACGGGAGAAGAACGTCGGGCACGTCGGCCTTCCGCTCCAGGGGAAACACCGTGGTGTAGCGCGTGTAGTCGTCAACGAGCACAAGGAAGTAGCGCTCACCGCGCGGTCCGGGGACGGGGGCAGGGCCCCAAACGTCCAAGTGGCAGGGTCTGAAGGGGGCAGTAGCAGGACGCAGCGAGGAGGAGTGAGGAGCACGGCGGAGCCGACCCTCGACGCAAGGCGTGCACGGTGGCGCAGTCGAGGGAGGAAGGGCAGGGAGCGACGCGGGGAGACCTAAGACAAGACCGTGCTGGGACATGTGACGCAGACGCGGGAGAGCAGGGTGACCTAAGCGGTGGTGCCAGAGAAGGGAGGGGTGAGTGAGGGACCGACACGAGCAAGCTACAGCGACCTGGGAGGACGCACCAACCGGGGGGGAAGCGGTGTGTAGGGTAAACAGACCGGACACCGGGTCCCGGGGGAACGTCGCAAGGGGGGAACCGGAGACAGCCTCAGAACAGACAGCGAACCGCTCGTGCCCGGGGAACGTGGTGGTGACGCCGAGGTCCTGGAGACAGCCGACACCAACCAGGTTCCTGGAGAACGAGGGAACGTGGAGGCCAGTAAGGGAGCCCGAGGGAACTGCCAGACAGGGAAGGGACGTAGAACTGCGCGCGACGACCGGACCCGCAGAGGGGTCAGCGAGAGAGACAACAGCAGGTGCAGCAAGCGGCGTGAGCGTGGAACGGTCGCGGAAGAAGCAGGCAGAAGCACCAGAGTCAAGAGTGAAGGGACAGCGACGCAGTGGCGGAGGCCGCGGACGGAGCCGGTGCAGCGACTAGACTAGGCAACCTAGGCAGTCCTACGCCTGTCGCAGCAGGGGAAGCTAAGCTACACAAGGGTGAAACACCTAAACTAGAGTACACATGGTAGTAAGATCCATCAACACTAGAAGCGTCAGCATACAAAGCATGCAAAGCAGCACCTATCTGATCCATGTCTAACTCAAAGATCGGCACGCCCTGGCGGAGCAGGCTGTGCCAGTCAGGGAGGTCCGGGGCCGGGCCAAAGCGACGACGAAAAAGATCGTCGAGGCGGCGGAAACAGTGGGCGGTCGGGTGCGGGCGGCGGCACAGAGTGCCGCGGAGAGGCCCGGTCTGAAGCTGGTACTGGCAGGTCACAGCACTGGAGCCGCTGGTAGACGCCAAGCTGCGCGGGCCGCCACCACGGCCACCGCCTCCGGAGGTGCCGGGCCAACCAGGCGGGAGACGAGCCCACGGCTGCGGCGGGTGCTGCTGGGACGGCGGCTGCGGCTGGGGCTGGTCCTGCTGCTGCTGGGACTGCTGCTCCTGCCCACCGGTGGTAGTCCCCTCAGGCGGACTACCGTCACCACCACCACGACCACTACCACCTGCGTCACCACCCCTACCTCCCTGGCGGCCACGGCCACCGCGACGCGAGCGCTGCTGCGGGTGGACAGCAGCAGCCGTCTCGGTAAGAGGGGTCG